AAACAATCGGAGCGAGGAAAGTGAAGCAATGCTTCAACCGGGGGGGCTCCAGACCACTCCAGCCAGCTTCGCTGCGCTGGTGCGATCCTCCACCCCCCCGTCGTGAACACGTGGCATGTCGACCCCCGGGAGTGTCGATCAATAAGGAAAACAGGTACTGCGGGAAGGGTTTTGAAGTCTTGCCGAAAGGCAGCAGGAGCCCCAAAGCGCTTACAGCTTCTTGGGTGCAATTCACCGATCCGGCTCTTGCCGTAGTGCGTCAACCGGGGATAGAAAATATCATATTACTGACCCGTGGCTCTCTTCAACTTTGCTTCCTTTTTCTTTCCATCCCCAGTGATAGATAAAACAATGATTAAACCTCAAAAGAATCTCGATCGTCGAACATTGGCACTTTTGGGGCTGCTTCCTGCGGAGCTGCCGCTTTGCCGGTTTCGAGCGCAGGCTTCGGTTTCTTCCTGAGTGGGAAGAAAAGACAGATGGCCGCAGCAAGCCAGAGTGCGCAAAGCGCCGTGGGCCAAATGGTGTCCTGCGGTGTCCATCTCAAAACAATCCGGACCGGAGCCCATACCAACACAATGATGACGAAGACTGCAGGGACCAGGATGATGGCTGTGGTGCACCTGCAGGTATATTGTTGCAAACATGTCTGACACCCATCCCCAGACCAGAGCCCTCTGCATGAACACAGCTGCCCACCCTCCCCAAAAAGTCCAAAGAGCACCTCGTCATCTGGAGTCGCAAACCCATCCGACATAGTGGCAGGGAGAGCCTCACCGACAAGAGGCTGCACAGGCCAACGAGTCCTCAGTGGTCTCTATCTCAGTCCGCTCGCTGAAAAACAACAGGCAAAAGCCAGTCGTGGATACGATGCACACTTCATTGGAGGACCAAAACAATCGACAAGCTGTAGGACCCAGGTGATTGGGAAATTTGCTGCTGAGCTGAAAAGCAAGCACAGCAAGTCACATGCTCTGGCCTGTGCAGTAAAGGCTCCCCACTCAATCAATTGACGTAGCACCCAGGCAAGAAGTGCCATCCCGGACAGCTCCGACGCTGCTGTAAATGACCTGTTGTCATCATGCAGGAGCAGGGCTCTCTCTACTGTATGAATGTGTACCCAAAGAACCTTCTGTCTGTCGCAACTGTTGCTGCTTCAAGGGCAGCCTCAAACATAACAAATTTGCTAAACAAGGTCCAGACGCGCTGAGATGGGATCCCCGAGGTACGGTAGGTTGCTAGCAAGCACGGTGTACACAGCGTACCGGATAGGGAGGAGAAACCCACCTGTGCCATACACCAGGATCCTTGGCAAGTATGTCCGCACTCGACCATTGAAAGTTTCCAGGTAGTCCTGCAAAGATGACATGCGAAGCTTCGCACTGAAACGGCACCGCCGGCGCGCTCTCTGGGGCGCGCACCGCGACGAACGCACCGAATTTCTGCCCTGCCCTGCCCTCTCACAGTTTTTGCATCAAACCTCGTGGTGGCGGATGTGCTGTGGGGCCTACAAGGTGAATGACCCTTCCCCTACAAGCTGGGCTTAAAATGCTTTGGCGGCTATGGCGGCTATGGCCAAAGCCTTCAACGAGCTGCAGGGGAGCATCTCGTTCTGGACGGTTTCAGGTCAAGATTCGTTGCAATCATATTGCAGCCTAAGCCTTGTCCTCGAAAGACTTGGGGCTAGGTGGGAGCCTGCGGAGATGTCATCTTTGCAGTCGCTGCGGGGCGTGAATGAACACAAATGGAGCGAGCCGACTGCTGGAGTTAACACAGTCCGATTCGACAGCGTGAGTAAAAAGGAAAGTAGCCCTCGCCACATCGCCGCATGAAGGGACGGCATGGGTTGGGGGTAGAAATCCACGAGGTTCAGATTGAGTCTGGGATGAAGCCTGCCAAAACTATCTTACACTCTGCCCCACTGCGAAACCCACAGCTCCTCGCCATACCACTTCTGCAAAGACTTGTAGACAAGCTCGCGGTCACACGGAATCCTTGGTTCCCAGTCGGAAGCTTCGGGTTCGGGCTCGGAGAGTTGCGACTTCAGGGTCCCAACCTGTCGGCAAATCCCAAACTGGCTGGTTTCGATAGCATGCAGTAGGTCAAAGGACAGAATGAACTAAAAACCGTTGCTTTTGGCTTCCAATCTGGACGGTTCTAAGCGATGCCGAGTCTCTCCTCCCCGGTTTGGGGATGCCGATGACCGTGTGTGCAGCAGAAGCAGTCCGCTTCCTTTCTTTCGGCTACGAACAAAACACACACACACACACACACACACACACACACACCATCAGTCATCATACTGTCATGCTAAGGAGCTCGCCAAAGCACCTAAATTCACTGAAACAGCCCCTATAAGAGGCTAGCTACTTCCAGATCCTGGCTGTTCGTGTCTGGGAGTTTCCCAAAAAAGGGAACCCAAAGATAGTACCCGAAAAAGTAGGATCCTTGTTAAAATAAGGACCCCCCCCAAAGACAAGGTACCGCCAACTTTCGGAAACTCTATGCCCTTATAGAGCCCTTATCGTAACCCTTTAAAGGGACCCTTAGGTACCCCCCCCCCGAATTTTTCGAAAACTCCCAACTCTGAATCCCTGTGAAGCAAGAGTCTTGCACGCGGAAGTTCCGCAGCTGCACGGGGAGCTTCTCAATGTCACCGATCCTGGGAGCAGCGGGAGGAAAAAGGGGGCCTTAGGAATTAGAAGAGGGCTTTGAGGGTATTTTAGACTACAGTGATAATAAGGAATCCCCAAAATAGTGAGGACAGTAATTAGTTAGTTGTATAGGCCCCTATATTAGGCTTTGGCTTTTACGGTCGCCCTCAGTTTCGGACTTGGGGCTCTGGTTCTTGGCGCTGAGCATAAAGGCTTCTCAACGAGAGACAGAGCAGCTCCTTTTAATTCCTGCCCAGAAGCATCCCCATCTCAAGGTACAGGACCACAGGGCCCAGGACAACCTTGCCCAAAGCAAGGCCAAGGGAAACATCTCCTAGATCCAAAAAATGGGACTGAAGCGGTGCCACGCAGCCCAGAGCCCGAACATCATTCCAGTCACAATGGCTCCAGCGCCGTACACCTCTGGCCTGGCGTGAGCGGTGGAAGCATGGCCGAAAATTAGGGGTACCTTACTATATAGGGTCCTTATAATAAGGCTCCTACTATTTAGGGTACTATACTAGGGTCCCCTATGGGAAACTCCCACAAGTCTCCATGAGCCGGACCTGATCTGCCGAAAGATGGCATAGCCGCATACAAGCAAATGCCAGGAAGCCGAGTAGATCAGAAAGATCAGCGATGTTTTCCTCGGGAGCACACAAGGTCGCCGCCAAGGCCCGCCCGCAAACACTTAAGGCCAACATCCGTGTGTCAGTCCAATCCGAGCCATACTCTGCACACCGAGTTTCAGCGGCATAAAGCGGATCTGCTTTCGCCGTTCTGGATCCTTCATGAAGGTGGCAATCTCGAACGTACACCAAAGACGGGAAAAGTACCTGCGAATTGTCTTTTTTATGATTTTCGTTCGGTCATCCTGCAGCGTTGCCGATTCGGGTGCAGCAGGTGGCAAGATCTTTCTGGCTGAGTTGGCTTCCAGAAAACGGTTTTGGTGTTGGACCTACGGTGTTGCTGTTGATCACAAAACATCCTCGCCAAACATGCGGATCTTGATTAATTGTCAACAACAATTACTTGCAAGTCCACACACCGGGCGTTCAAGCTAAGGCAGCAGTGCGCACGCATGTGCAAACTACTCTGCCGAACCCAGCGCAAATCCCCGAACGCACCCTTGAAGAAGTTTCGAGATCTGCAATCATCCGTACGACCCTGCACCTCGACTCAGCCGTGCTGTGACCTGCGAACATGCTCGCTGCTCGGCAAGGTGCTGAGGTGTCAGTAACACCACCAGGCTTCGTGAGCTCAGCAAGAAGGCCGCGATTGATAAGATGCCTCTCTGCTTCAGCCTCCGTTCACGTTCACAGTGGTCTTTCATGTCCAATGGGGTTACACAGCTGAGAACACTTGCTGCGGAGCCAGATAAGAAAAACGTTCTGTGCTGCTACAAATTTCAACTGTTGCCGCAACACCGTGAATTGAACAGATTGTGTGCTAGTCTCAGAGACATATGAGCAGGGGTCACAGGTTCAGTTTCGGGCGTTCGCTGATGGCGACTGATTCCACATCTTCAACAGCACTTGAGCGAAGACGTTTGAGAAAGCTGTTCCGGATGGGAAGCCAAAGCGTGTGGATGCAAGGAACCAATCGGCTGAATGCAAGTTGTGTGGAAGACCATGCAAGAGTCCCGTTGCTGGAGCAACTCTGCCGAATTCGAGGTCTGAGGCTACAGCTATGAATGTCTAATTATGTGGGCCAAAGTCAAGGCAAGGGACGCTTCATCGTGCTGTGCCACGCACAGCTTGTCGAAGAATACCATCCGAGGTCGGCAGACAAGAAGTCTGATGCGTTGCCAAAAAGCGAAAACGAAGAAGAAGGTAGCATGGCCAAAGACGACGGTCCATGTTGCATCCGGCAGAGCACCAAATCCACGCAGAAAGCCAACTACAATACTTACAAATAGACAGGCATAAAAAGCTGCACGCGAATTAAATACCAGGAGAAGCGAAAGCAGCTTTAGCCACCGGCCAGAGCCCCAGTCGTGACTCAGAAAAGAATCATAAGCTTCCACCCGTCGGCTGAGTTCGTAGTTTGCTGCATCTGATGCAGGCATGCCTCCGTTCTCTGCCTTCCAATGCTTTCCCCAGCTACACAGTGCCTCATGCAAGGAGACACCCCGAATAATTTCGGGATCTGCTTGGTTGCAGAGCTCGCACGAAGAACAGCTGTGCTGAGGGTGGCAGCTGTCAGATTG